CTGATCATTTATGTATACATTTGTCTATATCTATCTCGATTCGTTTTGCCTGTTACAAACAACCGTTATGTGAACAAAGTTATAATACCCTTGTGCACAAGTGCGCTCGGGTATAAAAATAACAATAATTTTTGAACAAAAAAATGTTATTCAAATTTTTTATAAATGATACGGTGATGCGAGTTTTTAGAGCCAACCTAGCGAGTGGTAGCGCATAGGCATTTAATGGCGTACAAAGAACGCGATACTACTGGAGAATTTGTAAATCGTTTTTATTTTAATATACTACTAAATATTTATGCATTATCTTGACTTATTAACATGTTCACAACTTCAATTATAGGAATGTTTATGTGTATATATTAAGTTAAGTACATACTTGTATTTAAAATCCTGAAAAGCATTTCAAAAATAACAATAAAATCTTCATTACCTTTTACATCTTTTGCAGGCACTTACTTTCTGCTTTACGATTTTATCGATTATTTTGACAAGGATGAGGCGACTTCGTTGCCGCGTGACAAGTTCTTAGAAATCATGAATAACATTTTCGGTAAAGTAACACAAGCGGAACGCGAGGCCATCATTTTTCGGGTAAGCAGCTGTTTTTATACACATACATATAAGATAAGATAATAACTTTTTCATTATTTCCATCGCAAAAAATGTCAAATTTATAGTTAGCTTGTGATCACCATAAAACTTTAATGTGTATATTACCTTTTTTCTTGCATTATACTTAAATATATACGTCAGTATCTACATTTCCTGCCAATTCATTGCCTACATGATTCGATTCACAGTGACGTTTCACTAATTGGCAACGCATTAATTGCGTTGAATTGTACAATGCATATGCGCTCGAAAAGGCCTAGAAGTAGGGTAGTATATGTATGCACACATACATACATATTTGTGTAATAGTCCTGCAGGAAATCGAACTGATTAAGAACTCGTTCCAAACTAGCTTGAAAAGGGACGCAACTGGTTGTTCGTGTAACTATCCCCAAATCAATGCTTTCAACTGGCTTTTTTAACATGGCGATGTCCAACGACGTGACAATTAATCTCCCCTGCAGAAATTTTGAACTCGTTCCGAACTGGTTCCATTTTGCACAGATCGGGAAAAGTTAGTATTTCATGAGAAAAAATGTCTAACATTCGATTTTGAGATATTTTTCGTTT